GGGGCTCTCTGATCCCTGGATCTCAGTTCTTTCCACTGGCATCTACCGAACATGCCATCACCAAGTTCGGGTCTTAGAAAGAAGCGGAATCATTTCCGAGCACAGAGTTTGCACCGTCCCCCGAATTCCTGAAGCCGGCAAAGGTCCCTTCCTCTGTTCAGTGGAGGTTTATGAGCCAGTTGTAGAAAAAAGTATTGAGCATTCCTGTGTCCCCGCCTTATCCTCTCCACCAGAATCCCACATGCACAAAAACAAAACCAGCTCTTTTCTTTCCCCCACGGCACCCGAAAATGGAGCTTCGTCTGGGGGGCTCTACCGAGGGTACAAGCATCTTCCACGATGAATTACTGGAAGCACGTGCGCGATGCCATGCACACTGTACTTTGGGGCGTCTTGGGAATTTCCAGGGAACCTGGACCAAATGAATGTTTCACTTTTAGAAGCCGACTTGCAGCTAAGCAAGATAGAGCTCTGTTGGGGCTTTTTGAGCTCTGTTGGGGTTTTTGTCATTGTCGTGATTGTACCAAGAGCAGTTACCCTGTGCCCGGGGCTCTTCCATGTTTCTGCATGGGTGACCTCGTGTTATCCTGGCTACCGCTCCGTAAGGAATGTTCTTTTAGCTCACTCCATCTTGTAGATGAGGAAACTGAGTCACGTAGTAGGTGCTCAATCAGTGTGAGTTTACTGTTACTATTAACCACGCGTATAACCCAGACTGAGGCATTGGGCACGCCCAGTTCCAGGGGGAGGAAGTGCTCTTCCCGCTGCCACCTCTGCCTACGCCTGTGGGGCTGTGACCTTCCCCTGCCTCCCTGGCGGGCCCTGGCACCCCTGGGCAGAGCCGCCTGCCTGTGGCCAAAGTGTGGCGCTGTCCAGCCGTGTCTCCCAGGCCCCTACGTCCCTTCCCCCGAGACCCCCAGCTGCATGGCGGATACAATCCCTCCTGGCCCGGTCACGTCACCTCCTTGAGCCTTAGCCTCCCTGTCTGTCAAATGGGCTCGCTCTCCCCCCACCTACCTCACAGGGTTGTTGTGAGGTGCAGAGTCTCTGAAAGCCCTCCCTCAGGGAGTGAGTGCCCCCCCAGGGCGGCCCCCTCCCCCCTTCCCTCGAGGGGGAAGGACTGTAGCTCCAGGTGAGGTTCGGTATTGGTGGTGGAGGGAGGGTGGGGCAGCCCTCGGCCTTCCCCCAGTGGACAGAGCCGAGGCCAGGAGCGGGCGGGCAGGGGCTCAGCAGGGGCAGTGAGGCCACTTCGGACGGACCAGGGAGACGGGAGAGGGGCCACTCCCTCTGTCAGGGCCTCTGACTCCCCGCAGGGCACCTCTCAGCTGTGTCTGCATCACCATGTAATAAAATCTGAAGAAACAGCGGCCTGGCTGCCTCCCTCTTTCTCTGGGTCCCTTTTGGGGGCTGGGGCTAAACTCAAGGTGGGATGATGACCCAAAGGTAATGGGCTTTTTCCTAAAACCCGGGACCCTGCCCTATTCGGCGTCACTCCCCATAAGGGTAGGGGACTCATGGCGGGGATCCTCTGCCCAGACCTCGAGGGCATCAGTCTTGCCTTGCTGGTGCCCACCCCTCTCTGGGCCCCTTTTCCTCGTCTGAAACAAGGGGTTGGACAGGCGACTACCAGGCCAGGCCAGCAGATTGCTGAGGGGCAGGGAGCTGGGCGCCAGGAGACCTGGTGCTCCCTGCCCCGCTCCCTGCCTCCCCCTTCCCAGCTCAGCCCACTGTCCAGATGACCCTCTGCTGGCTGGCTTCACGCTGCTGCTCGAGGCCACCCCTGCTCCATCCCAACCCCCTAGGACACCCCTGCTCCCTGCTATGACAGCTCTTGGTCGCCTCCACCCGTCCCTGTTGCTCTTTCCTCTGCCCCAAGTCCCAGGAAACAAACACTTAGCACCTGTCCCGCCTTCTCTTAGAGCCTCTGGCTTCTCTTTCCTGCCCTGCTAGGACTGTCCCCACCCCAGATGGCCAGTTCCTTCCCCTGCTAGTCCTGCTGAGGTCGGTGCCTAGGGCCCCATTCAATCTCAGAACAGGGCCTTGGGTCAGAGATTTTATTCCAGGCAGCTGAGCTCACTGCCAGGCGAGCCGAGTGGGCAGTGGAGGCCCAGGGGTAGAGAGGGTGTGGCCCAGGCTCCACCCCCGCTTGGCTCACAGGTGGCAGCTGGCCTGCTTGGCGGTCTCCGCTCTGAGGGCCCCTCCTTGGGGGCACCTCCCACCCCCACCTCTCAAGTTAGGTCAGGGGTGTCACAGCCTGGAATCTGCTCTCTGGAGTGGGTGCTCCCAAGCAGCCACTGCACTGGGGGTGGGGGTTGGTGAGGGGCTCAGACACTCCTTCTGGGACCTGGAAGCCACATCCTCACTGCGGAGCAGTCCCCCCCGAAAGCAGGGGGGACAGGGCAGGGAGAGAGAATCGGGAGCCTGGTGACCATGCCAGGCTCGCTGGGCAAGTATTGACCAGCTGCAGGCCCTCCTCCCTGCGTGTGCCCCCTGGGGGGATGCCAGGGAGCAGGCTGGGGGACAAGATGCCACTCTGGCTCCCACAGAGCCCCGCTGCCCCAGAATACGTGCTCCCCGCCTGATGGGTGCCCTGAGCTCTGCAGGGGGCAGCTCCTCAGGTCAGCAGCACCTGCTGGATCCAGCCAATCACACCTGTGATGCGGGTGTAGACGCCAAAGTAGTTGGGCCGGCCGCAGCCCAGGCCCCAGCTGACCAGCCCCGCCAGGAACCAGCGGCCACTGGGCTCCCTGCACACCAGTGGGCCGCCCGAGTCGCCCTGAAAGGGGAGAGGAGAGACAGGGCTACATCAGGGCAGGGCGCCTGCTTCCAGGGCAGGTGCTGGCTGCTGGGGGTTTCTGGGTGACAGCAAGAAGGCCACATTCCCTCTTGAAGCCTTGGCTTCCCTGGGCCCTTGGCCTGGCCTCCAGCGTGTCCTGACTGGCCTGGAACTGGGGGGGGACTCGGGGTGGGGGGCAGGATGTGTGTGTGTGTGTGTGTGTGTGTCCACACACCCCATCCACCCCTGTCTCCTCCTGGGGGCTCCTAGTCCTCTCTCCTGTGTCACCTCGGGCAAACTGCCTTGTGGTGGGAGAGGAGCAGAACTGGGTTTGAACCTCAGACCTGCCTGCCCACCACAGTCTCTTCTGATCTGTGGCCTACAACCCGGGGCAAGTCCCTCAACCTCCTTGAGCCTCGGTTTTGTCATCTGTAAAGTGGGGACAGCCATCGCCACCTTGCTGGGGGCAAGCTGATGTGAGCAGAGGGCCAACCCCTGGGTGATGGGCTCAT